TATTGTATATGTTACTTGATCATTCATTTTAAATTGAGTAGATCTAAGCGCATAAAATATTTTTTGCTATATCGGATTGTACACAATGTCGCTATACTGATAAATATGAAATGTTTTATTTATTACTATAAGATAGCATTATGATTGAGAATGTTCGGATCGTGACATATGTCGTCTCTTAAGTATTGTAACTCACTTTAAAGATCATGGGTCAGTGATATTATGAAATTGGATAAGCTAGAGGGAAATGGACTCTGAAGAGCTCTTACATAAACAATGAAATAAAAGCCTTGATTTGATGAAATACAATTATTTTGTCTGCTCCGACAATTAGGTCTACTAGATCATATTTGTGGACCGATTTGAAGTTGAAAAATTTTGCAAATTGGTATCACCAGAAACCGAAGGAGGATTGACTACCGTGGAGTAAAGACTTTTGGATTGTGCGAATAACTCCTCGGCCCATCATCCTGCGACTCCGATGAATCCGTGATAAGATTTCATCTGTCGTGTGACAGACATAATCAAAGCGAGAAGTCACCGAGGTTCGATTCCTTTAATAGGCAATCTGTTCCAAGTTATTAATTTACTATATGAACGCTTGCTTTGGCAAATCAGCAAATAAAAGTTGAATGACTTCTTTTAGCTAATGACAAAATTAGATGGCCTTAATAATTCTGCGTTTTTGGCTATTTCATTTTAATGAAAAAATTAACCACATGGGATCTGTGCATTGGTCACAACGAAGGGGGCCCAGGCTGCTTATTCGAGGACTTTACACAATCCAGTGTGGCCCCTCACTTTTAAGTGGGGCCAATTCGCACATTTTTCTTAGTTAATTATCCTTCAAAATGAACATTCGAGTCACAGTTCCTTCAATTAGTCACTCGTGTTGGGGCTAAATGTCGAAGGCATGCCCATGGGCTTGCCGGATTATCTTGAACATTCTATGACCTTTCGCATCTAACGCTTTTCTCTTTTGTCTCTTGACAAAGTTGCTATACTCAAAAGCCTAATATCCTCAGGGTGCCTCAAATTCTTAGTCAAAGTAATAAAGTTTAAATAATCTTGCAATAAAATCGTATGTTCAGCTTTTAATGCAACTCCATTTTTCTATTTTAGAGTTTAATCTATTAAATAATAATCTTACGTTTTTATTTAATGTCCTTAATTGCCCTTCTCCATCCCCTTCTGCATCTTATCTTTAGATTTTCACCCATCGTAGCTCATCGCCTTCATTCTCATTCACCTCGCTCTTACCAGTGCATAGGCTCATTCTACTCGGGGGTGTCAATGGCCTTCTCCATACATTGGTTGATCGATTTGGTATTCTTCCCGATCTTCGCATCTTCAACCACCTTTTGCTACTACTTCCTCTTCATTGGACGGACTTGCAAACAAACCCAGACAAACCTGGAAGCAAAGCCAACGAGGTCCATGATGACGCTTTTCATGGGCCTTTGCCTTCATCTGATTCATTTAAAATGGTCGACTTTGAATCCTGGGAAGCTGTCTTCCTCCATATTGTGAGTCGAGTCTGGCGTCTACGGCCGGATATACACATGTATAATCTGCTAATCCTCCGGCGAATACGGCTTAACGAAAACGCAGTAGACCTGTTGGAGGAGGCTCTTAAACTGGGAATTCTCCCCAATCAGGTATGGCAAAGTTTCCTGGTACGAGACGGAAATATTTAGTTCCTTTCCGCTATTTTCCATCTGGCGCTTTATGAATTGAGACGGTGCGGTTTTGATGAATTGAGTACAGAGCATGACTGCAAATGAATCTCATTTTTATCAAAAATGGGTTCCTTTTAAGAACTAATTTCGCCTAAGTTTTTTATGCAAGCTCTACATTAGTCGTGTTTAGAACGTGCTGATTCATAAGCAAAACTTCCAATCTGCACTCCGGTACTTCGGTTCTTCCTAGTTTAATCGAACTTCCTCTCACCATTGGATATATTCTAATGATTTCCATTTACCAAACCCAGAGGCTACCGACTTCGCCAGAAATTTCAAGCAGGAATATAACTTGACTTGTATTTCTTAACTGGCTTTTTCCCATAAATTTTATTTTTCCTTGCAGTAATGGCAAACAGTGACATATTGCTCAAGCTACCTTAGGAACCATCATCTGTAAATGCAATCAGTTTATTTAGTTAGTCGAAATAGCTTTTTGAGTGCTATGTCGATGTAAGATGAGATACTGGTCAATTACTGGATTTGGGAGTTGCTAACGGACAGGATACTAATTTCTGAAGGCACTAGGGCAGAATCCGACTGAAGGTAGGAGTATATAAACGCCCAGGTTGGGGATTTTTTGTTGTCTTATCACTTTGACTGCTTATTTTTTGAAGTACCTTGTCATTTTTACCATATTAAATCATTTTGCCCTATTCCTATCCTTGTATGTGAAGGCTTTGCTTGGTGCTATAACTTGTGCTCATTTGACTTGCCGCATAATAATTTGCTTCACATACTATTCCTCGACAAGTTACTGATAATGAACAGGCAGTAAATTCACACTCAATAACACACAAATGTCGTTATATCTCATAGTGGAGAACGATATGGGACAACGTAGAATGTATGACCTGATATAACATTTTATAATCTTTTTGATTGAGATTGTCTACTTTGGGATTCGAGTAAAAGCCTAAGACTGGCTTGTGTATTACAGGAGCTATTTCTTATTTATATGCTTCTTAGTCACTTCGGGTTATCGATGAGCATTTCAGATTTACGAATCACATCTTCATAGTACCATTTTCTCTGCTATATTATTTTAATTTCAGGAGTTCTTTTTCTAAGAACTTTATTCATCCTAGGTCGCATGTGATAAGGGATTGACAGTTGACTTTATTTTTCAATGATGTAATTCGTTTTTGTTTTCCCGTTGCATTTTATTCTCATCCAGGCTCGATCCTTCCTAGACTTCATCAACAATTACGACAAATCGAAAGGGAGGGTGGGGTCATGGCAAAGAGGCAGGTGTGATAACGCACGCCTAAACTCGCCGAAGATGGCATACCTTTGGGGGGGTCTAGTACAAACAAATCAGAAGTTTGGATAGTGGGGTAGGGATATACGATGATGGTGAGGTGTTAGATCTATCATGATAGGAGGAATAATACAACAGTTCAGCAGGAAGTTGTTTAAATGATATACTTCATTCGTTTCTGACAAGTTGTAGCTCTGTACTATAAATAACAAGACTCACTAACTGCCGACTACGTTGAAAAATCCACGGTCTAACGCTGAAAATTATTAGGATTACCATAGTAGATGACTTTGGACGAGATGCGCCCACCTAGGTCTCCCTTATAAAACGACCAGGTTGGATAACGTGGTCAGACCATTTCTATGCATCGAAAAGAAACTGTCATCAAATCATAGGCTTTAACATCTTGGTTTTTATATCTACGTTTACGTGGTGTAATTCAGCTTATCTTAGCTTCGATGGCTACTTCAAAACGGAGATGAACTGAACATTTCTGATGCTAAACTCTGGAAAGAGTTTTATTCAAGATGACCACTAGATGATACCTTTCGACGAGTTCAGCTTGTCCAAATGCTATTATTGCATCGGAGCAATTATCTGAAAAAATATTCTTTCACTCTGCTCCTAACTGTTTATAAATACAAAAGCAACATTAAAATAACTTCTGTACTGGCTTGCTAATTGCGACCTTTTTGTACTTGCTTCTTCGCTAGGATCGTAGTCGGCATTGTCAATGAGTTATGTCTTGTACTAAGCGACAACTCGTCAGAGGCAAGTGTAATCAATCTCTTGACCATCATTCTCCCAAACGGTTGTACTATCATTCCTATTTCTATCCTGGCGCATCTACATACTCCTTACCCTATTATCTCAATCCTACCCTATCACCATTTCTGACTTGTTTATATTTTACTTCTCTAGTTGTGTGCCACTTTATGCCGAGTTTAGTCGGACTGTATCACACCTTTACTTCACCCTGCCTCTCGATTTGCCGGAATTGTTGATCCGACTCGGTTCTTCTATAATAATCTCCCTCGTCCCTCCTGAGATTCCTTTCTTATCATGCTGGCTGACTGATTTTACTCGGTTCTAGTCGCAGCCTAGACTTTCATTCTCATTCTTGCAGTTTTTAGGCATCGTCTCCACGAGCCATCTCTGTGTACTCTGAACAAACTGTGACTGTCTATCGCCACTCTGCATCTCGAGTGGATTTCTCGCCAATTTGGCTCGATCTACAAGCCGTAACATCGAATTCCTGTGACGGTTATGGTTATCCGTCTCCCTATTGCTGTGACCACCAGGCCCCAAGATTGTGGTTATTTCTTTGAGCAGACTACACTCACTGAAACGTCTTTTGATTTTCGAATAATTTTCTCAGCCCATTCTTCCTTGCAATATTTTTTTTTGGTTAACGTTAGATCCTTGGGTGAATATAATTCTTATTCGAGATTTGTTGAGAGCCTCGAAACTTACTTCCTATGCCTGTAAAATAGATATGTTTGGTGGAAAAATAGACAACAGGAAGTAAGTAAGAAATTGAGAAAGTCTAAGCCTACCAACTATTCTGAATGACAGCTATATGGCTCCAAAAATCTGAATTCGCTGAACACAAAGCCAAACAGGACACTTAATGGATTGGTCCAAAACACTTTTTACTGGTAATGGGTATTCACATCAAACCGTAAGAGTAGGGAGTCTATTGAAAGTAACAAAGTAGCTAACCTCTTGAGTGTAGGAATTCGAGTCAAAATTATTTATTGCTTTAGGAATGATGGAGAGCAGGCAGAACAAGTGAGCAAGAAAATGAGGTCAAAATGGTCTGGAGTTTAGTTAGTCGCATGTCCATTCTGTGCTGTGTTACACTATTTCTGATCTTTCGGTATCCATGTGCTTGCACAGCCTTTGATGCTTTCTAGCAGTATACATTTAATCTTTTTGGTGTATTGTTTTCTGTCCATTATCCCTTTCACTTTTCCTTATCCGCGTGAAGTTCTAATTGTTCATTCATTTGAGAATTTGGGTTATCCATGACATTTCAGCCTATCCTGTGCTTTGGGATTTACCAATAATAACTTCATTGTACAATTTTCTCTCCTACATTATTTTAATTTAGAATGTTCTTTTCTAATAAATTTATTTACCCTAGGTCTTATAGGATTGCCTTTCAACTTGAGATCTTTTTTACGATACTCCAAATTCTATCATGACCGTATTTTTCTCATGACTAAATAATACAGTAACTAGACTGATTAGATTATACTGAAAGGCTACTTTATTTTGTCCACTTTTGGAGTGGTTACCCAGATAATCTTGTTACAGAGAATTTAGAATATTGCTTTTAAACTGCTTATTATTACGATTGGGTTAACCTCGTTTTCGCAACTTGATATTGTTGTCAGGTAGACTTAGTTAAACGTACCTTGTCCGAGTTCTTCTGCCATAGTAGTTATAAGTTCTAGCATCAGGCCATGGATTTGGTACATTCTCAGATGTTTCATCAGCATCATCAGTTAGTCTCGACATTCTCCGCGCCAAGTCACAAACCCGTCAGAGACAAGTGAAGTCAATCTGTCGACCAACGTTCTGCCGAAAACAGTTACACTATCACTTCTCTTTCTGTCCTGGCCCATCTATCCACTCCATACCCTCTTAGCCAACTCCCGCCCCATCACAACTTCTGACTTGTTTACATTCCACTCGTCAAAATGTGTG